AGATGCTTGTTTTCCATCTATATATCTTCTTTGGTGAGGTACTTGTTCAGATCTTTTGCCTTTTTGAATTGGGGGCTTTTTTCTTATTTTTGAGTCTTTAAGAGTTACGTATTTTATCAGACCTTATCAGTTATGTTTTGCAAAGGTTTTCTCCCAGCCTGTGGCTTTTTCATTGTTTTAACAGAGCATTCACAGAGCAGAGCTTTTTAATTTTAATGAACTCCAATTTAATGGTTTTTTCCCCCTTTTTTTTTTGTTTTATTTTGAGACGTAGTTTCGCTTTTATTGTCCAGGCTATAGTGCAATGGCACGATCTCAGATCACTGCAACCTTTACCTCCTGGGTTCAAGCAGTTCTCCTGCCTCAGCCTCTCAAGTAGCTGGGATTATAGGCATGCACCTCCACGCCTGCCTAAATTTTAATGGTTTTTATTGAAAACCAATTTATTGCCAGGTGCGGTGGCTCAAGCCTGTAATCCCAGCACTTTGGGAGGCTGAGGTGGGTGGATCACGAGGTCAAGAGATCGAGACCATCCTGGTCAACATGGTGAAACCCCGTCTCTACTAAAACTACAAAACATTAGCTGGGCATGGTGGTGCGTGCCTGTAATCCCAGCTACTCAGGAGGCTGAGGCAGGAGAATTGCCTGAACCCAGGAGGCGGAGGTTGCGGTGAGCCGAGATCGCGCCATTGCACTCCAGCCTGGGTAACAAGAGCGAAACTCCGTCTCAAAAAAAAAAAAGAGAAAACCAATTTATTGGTTTCTTTTATATTTAAGTTATTACACATTTTATTTTTTGTGAAAAGTGTAAAATCTGTGTCTACAATTGTTTTTTTGTATGTGGATATCCAGTTGCTCCAGTAACATGTTGAAAAGATTATCCTTTGCTCCTTTGTCAAAGGTCATTTGACTATGCTTGTAATCTATATTAGTTTCTTAGGACTTCCATAAAAAAGTGTCACAAATTGGGTGGCTACAGAAATTATTGTCTCATAATTTTGAGGGTGAGATGTCTAAAAAGATTTCAGCAGGGCCATGCTCCCTCTGAATCCTGTAGAGGAATGATCCTTTCTTACCCCTTCTGGCTTCTGGTGTTTGCTGACAATCCTTAGCGTTCCTTGGCTTGTAGACGCATCACTGCAGGCACATGGTCATCTTTTACTTGTATGTCTTCTCATCATGTTCCCTCTGTACGTGTCTGTCTCTTTCATTTCAAGCTGGCAGCATTTTTGCTAAGATGGTTGCCTGAATCTAGGCACACACCTAATTGCCAGCAAACTGTTGTCCACCCATACCCTTTTCTCTACACAGCATACATTCTTGTTTTTTTTGCAATATGCATAGGCTGAGAATTTTCCAAATCTTCAAGTTCAGATTCTTTACCCCTTTTTGCTTAATAGTTCTTGCCTCAGTATATCCCTTTCCTTGCATTTCACTATAAGCAGCAGGAAAAGCCCAGACTATTCCTTCCACACTTTGCTGAGAAACCTCCTCGGCTAAAACCCAAGTTCATTGCTTTCAAATTCTGCTGTCTGCCCAACAGAACACAATTCTAAGTTCTCTGCCACTTTATAAAAAGAATAACCTTTCTGGCTGGGCGTGGTGCCTCATACCCGTAATCCCAGCACTTTGGGAGTCTGAGGCAGGCGGATCACCTGAGATCAAGTGTTTGAGACCAGCCTGGCCAACAATGTGAAACCCTATCTCTACTAAAAATACAAAAATTAGCCATACATGGTGGTGCAAGCCTGCAATTGCAGCTACTTGGGAGGCTGAGGCAGGAGAATCTCTTGAACCTGGTAGGCAGAGGTTGCAGTGAGCCGAGATCATGCCATTGCACTCCAGCCTGGGTGACAGAGCAAGACTCCATCTCAAAAAAAAAAAAAGGAATAAACTTTCCTCCAATTTCCAATAACACGATCGTCATTTCTGACTGAGACCTCACCAAAAATACCTTAAGTACCTTTAAATGTTCGTATGACTTAGCAGCAGTTTCTTCCATTCTTCAGGCCTTTTCTATCAAGCACATCAAAGCTCTTCCGGCCTCCACCCATAACCCAATACCAAAGTTACTTACATATTTTTAGAATTTTTTTTGGTTTATGTTTTTGGTTTTTTTTACAGCAGCAGTCACTTTTTGGTATGAAACTCTGTAATGGCTGTATATTGTCACATTATGTGAATATACCATTATTTTTGTTATTTATTCATTTTTGAGACAGAGTCTTAACTGTCGCCCAGGCTGGAGTGCAATGTGTGATCTCGGCTCACTCAGCAATTTCCATCTCCCGGGTTCAAGTAGTTTCCCTGCCTCAGCCTCCCGAGTAGCTGGGACTACAGGTGTGTACCACCATAGCCAGCTAATTTAGTTGAGATGGGGTTTCGTGCTGTTGCCCAGGCTGGTCATGAACTCCTGACCTCAAGTGATCCACCAGCCTCCACCTCCCAAAGTACTGGGATTACAGGTAAGCCACTGTGCCTGGCCATATATCATAATTTTTAAAAGATAGTTGCCTTGGCTCGTGGCTCATACTTGTAAGTCCAGCACTTTGGGAGGCTGAGGCAAGTGGATCACCTGAGGTCAAGAGTTCGAGACCAGCCTGACCAAAATGGTGAAACCCTGTCTCTACTAAAAATGCAATAATTAACCGGGCATGGTGGCAGATGCCTGTAATCCAAGCTATTTGTTAGACTGAGGCAGGAGAATTGCTTGAACCCAGGAAACAAAGGTTACAGTGAGCCAAGATCATACCATTGCACTGCAGCCTGGGTAACAGAGCGAGATTCTATCTGGGAAAAAAAAAAAAAGGTCTCCACTTCTTGAACATTTAGGTTTCTGTATGTTATTTATTATTTTTTTCCTTTTTTTTTTTTTTGAGACAGAGTCTGTGTTGCCCAGGCTGGAGTGCAGTGGCACAATCTCGGCTCACTGCAACAACCTCTGCCTCCTGGGTTCAAGTGATTCTTGTGCCTCAGCTCCCCCTTCTAGCTGGGATCACAGGTGTGCCCCACCATGCCCAGCTAATTTTTCTGTTTTGTTTTTTTTTATAGAGATGAGGTTTTGCCATGTTGGCCAGGCTTGCCTTGAACTCCTGGACTCCAGTGATCTGCCTGCCTTGGTCTTCCAGAGTGCTGGGATTATAGGCATGAGCCACTGCACCCGGCCTATTTTGCTAATAAAACAAGATTGTGATAACATTTCTTGGGCATTGTTACCTTTCATACTTTTATCTTATAATAAATTCTAGAAATTGAATTGTTTGTCGAAGGGTATGTAAAACTTTAAAGATGTGGGTACATGTTTAGTGTCAGACTCTTACTCCTAATCTAGTTTGCTAACATCAAGGTGACTTTTCATCATCGTATGCCATTCTTGCATTAGGAATTATTAGTGGAAGATATGATTGAATTTGACTTAATTTCAAGTTGTAGATCCCTGTTTCTGAAACCTGATCTTCTGGATATAAGTTTGTGGAAAGCCCTTCCATATTCTCTTATGTGCTCTTGTTATATGCTTTTGCTTTTGTAGAAACTTGCTTGGACATTTTAGCATGGGGATCAGGGTATGCCATGCATGGACTAGGGGAGAAAATATTTGTTGTCGTTGTGGAATCACTATTTTATGGAAAACCCTGAAGACCTAGTTTGCTTCTTGTTTATAATTGGTGTACAGCTCTAGTCATCTTCATTAATGTAAGCTAGATCCATAGATATTTTCAGAAGTAATTGTTTCATCAGTTATTCTTATAGCTAAACAGGGTTTTGTCACCTAGTTATGATTATATACTTTTTTTTTTTTTTTTAATTGAGACGGAGTTTCGCTCTTGTTACCCAGGCTGGAGTGCAATGGCGCGATCTCGGCTCACCGCAACCTCCGCCTCCGGGTTCAGGCAATTCTCCTGCCTCAGCCTCCTGAGTAG